AATTACATAGTAGACACGTACATCAGACATGAATCACATGTCCCTAGAAATACGTGTACCGTTAACCATGATGTGTAAACTGAAGTGCCATTTTTGCATTATCATAGAAGGAATCAGTCTAGACAACCTATGAGGTACTGCAAATACAATATACAATAAATTTAGCAAGGCATTCTAGGCTGAAACTAGGCACATGTGCCAAAATGTGTTTGTAGACCTTTTCAAACTCAAGCTGGGTGAGTTTCAACGTAGAACTTTGCACAACAGTGCATCCCCTCAAGCTGGAACACTTCATGCAGCACAAAAAAAACAAATAAAGGAAAAGGAGAAGAAAGCGGCTTCAAAAGAAATACACTAAGCAGAAATGCATGATCGGGAAACATGAGGATTTAAGGAATTTGGAAGATTATAAAAGGAGTGAATGCATCTGCACCACTGACAATAACTTTGAGCTACATCACCAACAGTCTCAAGTAATTGGTTATTAGCGTCTCGAAGACCTCAAATGAAGCCGTCTACACCTACCTACGTGGTCAGCTCAGACCAACAATCACAGTCCTGTTAGATTAATACCAGGTTTCAGTTAGACTCCCACTAACTCTCCACCAGCTTCATCCTATGTCAGCTAACATTTTTCGATTAGGTAAACGGTGGCTCAACACTCACAACACGTGTCCTAGCCACTTCAGTCGATATGGCATCACAACCTCATCGATTGATTGATTTTCCATCCTTACCTAACACTATACACCAACCTTAATATTACTCACCTTTCACTCCTCAGACCGAAATCTTAATCTGTGGACAGTAGAATAAAACTTCGTTTATAACTGAATAACACAAGCGGTTGGATTCTCTGCTATTTCCAAATGATTCTGTCAAATGCATACATAACATGACCTACACTGCTTAAATCAATGGGTTACCCAAATTCCCATTCGAATTGTTTTTCGACTGATACATGAACTCACACATAGTTTTAAATTGCTGTAATGTAGAACACTTCTCAACACAAATGAAGAAATATCGAAGAGATTTGAACATTGCTTTATGACGAATTATTTTCAAGAGCCGTACGTACAATCGTATTTATATTTCACAAAAAATCCATAATATCAGTCAAGTACTAAAGACTAGGTTCTAGAAAATGTAAGGTATAATTTTTTTTCCTTCACGTTCCCAGTGGAACATACGGCTTCAGGCTAGTGGCTTGAAGTTTCTGTAGCAGTGCTTACTATTTTACAGGATGGGGTTGCTAGCCTCATACCCAACCTTTCCTCTTCAACAGCATTATTTCTGGCTTAGCGAGGTAAAGGAGTGCGTCTGTGGCCGGGAATCGAACCCCGGACCATGTGCATGGTTGGCGAGCGTCCTAACCGCTATGCCACCGACGCATGTAGAAAATGTAAGGTATAATGTGAGGTGTAATCTAAGAGGAGTTGACTCATTGGAAGTTAGAAAACTCACATGGAAGTTGGAGTTGCGCAATAAATTGTGATAAATTATCTAGTCACAATCTAAGTGGACAAAAGCTAGTGGAAATACAATTTTTTGTGAGGATATCCCAAGAAACTTATGCCAAAAAGGAAGCAGATATTATTTACAAAGTGCAATTACGAGACATGTGTGCGTCGGTGGTATAGCGGTTAGGACGCTCGCCGACCATGCACACGGTATGGGGTTCGATCCCCGGCCACAGACGCACTCCTTTACCTCGCTGAGGCAGAAATAATGCTGGTGAAGAGGAAAGGTTGGGCATGAGGCTAGCAACCCCATCCTGTTAAAATAAAACACTGCTACAGAAACTTCAAGCCACTAGCTTGAAGCCCTATGTTCCACTGGGGAACGTGAAGGAAAAAAAAATTACGAGACATCGTGTGGATAGAGGTAACTTCCTAGAGACTGTCAAATCTTTCGAAATATTAAATATATACAAAGGACAGCAAATTTACTACGATTTACTGCTGACGAAATTGCAATCACACATTTCAAACCAAATTTATGCATACACAAAGAGGTGGTGTGAGTTAGTCAATAACAATCGAGGTGATCACTATCATCATCATAACAATAACAAGGATAAATTCATTCAAGTGTTTATATAATCTAGGTAACGGTGAGTGTATAGGTAGACAATGTGTATACTAGTAGCGGTAGACGGCAAAATAACTATTGTCACATAGCAATTACGTAATATAATAATGACGTCAGATTGTGAAACCGATGAAGATGTCAAAGCCAGCCAGCCAGAATCGGAAAGTCAAGATACGTCTTCATCAACCTGAAACCAGTTTGAAAATCTTCTGAACTGCACTCAGCCAGCATAAAGAACAAGGTTCAGATTTTCAACACCAGTGTCAAGTTGGTCGTTCTATACGGGTCAGAAACTTGGGCAGCATGTCATAAACAGGATTTCCAACAGCCTATTGCAGATTTTTATCAACAGCTGCCTTCGTTCCATACTGAAGATCAAATGGCCAGAAAGAATTAGTCACAAGAAACTCTGGTAACAAACCAACCAAGAGCCAATCGCTCAACAAATATGTAGGAGAAAATGGAGATGGATCGAGCATGCGTTGAGGAGGCCGTCGAATGACATCGCGCGCCAGGCCCTCAAGTGGAATGCGAATTGGAAGCGACAAGTGGGTTGTCCGAGGGTGACATGGAGGAGATGAGAGATTATGGGCAATCGTCAGCCCAGCTTAAGACGATAGCGGAAAATAGAACAAAGTGGAGATGTGCTATTGAAACCCTATGTTCCACTCGGAACCCAAGGGAATAATTATTATTTATTATTATTATAATATATTAACATCACCTCGATTGTTATCCATTAATTCACACCTCTGATTCTATATTTTATTAACCACATTAATTGAAATGCCTGCAACTAATATTTCATTATGTAAATGTAAAGCCTGATGAGAATTCACCGAAAAGACGTATTTGCTTAAATCGTGTTCTATAATTATCATTATGGGAATTTTCAAATTATCGAAATTTATCAAGAGAATCAAGTGTATGAATTACGGTAGTATTTACATAAAATCTGTATGAAAAATGCCATGTTATTAATAAACAATAAAAATGGCAGTAATAATAATTATGAAATCATAACAATAAAAATAAACGTTAAACAATAAGATGAAACTAAGTTTTAGCGGGAATTTTACTCTGATCATAGTAAGGCGAGTGCTTTCAAAAGCAAAGGTTCGGTTTCAGATCCCAAATAGCCAGTGGTTCGGTTAGGCATAAATGGCGTACTTGAAGTCGGTTTGTGCGACATTGTGTAACTCGGTGTGTCATTGTGAAGCTAGCATCCATATATGCCTGATATCCAGGGTTGACAAGGTGCTCGAGGAATACCAATAGTTCCATCCTCGAGCACAATGACACATCAAGTTACACAATATCGCATAAACCGACTTCAAGTACGCCATTAATGCCTAACCGAACCACTGGCTATTAGGGATTTGAAACCGAACCTTTGCTTTTGAAAGCATAACAAGCACCCTCCACTTGCCACAATTTTGTTCCATTTCATTGTTAGGTATTTTAGTTTTCGATTACTATAAAATTTTTATCATTACTACTACTGTTTGTTAATAACATTGCATTCCTCAAACAGATTTCATACAAACACTACCGTATTTCCACTGGCTTTTGTCCACTTAGATCGACCAGATGACTTTTCACGCTTATTACGCAAATCCGGCTTCCTACTCATTTTTCTGATCTCCAGTTAGTCATTTCCATCCACAACACTTTAGGTATTATATTTTCTTGAACATAGTCACTAGTACCTGACTGATTTTATGAATTCTTTCTTAAATATAATTGCGAGTGTTACTTCGATTGGTCATTAGGTAGTAACCAATGTGGTATCTAGTCCTTTGTTTGGTGCAGACTGAATTCCATAATTTTATTTGAGAATAATAACCACAATAACATCGTTCAAAAACTCATATTGCGTGTAGCCGCAAGTTCATCAATCATGTGCTGTGCATACAACTCAGTCTAAAGGTCTTAGATGAGGCCTACTGGAGAAATCTGCCACTTCGGGCAACAGGTGGGCGAAATGAGTTTCGCCAGGTGTGTCTGCTTCCTCAGATATTCCCTATCCACACCAAAGAGATTACCAGCAGGTCACTAGGACCGCGACTGACCACCCATAGGACTTTAATATATACACTGATAGATCTGTAGAATAGACAGTACATTTTAAGGCAGGTACTGGAGGAAACTAGGTTATATGAGTGATCCTTGAAAAATCTCTTAAAATTAAACCACGCATACAGATTATTTTAGAAATAATGGTTAAGATCACTCCACAAGATAACTGATATGCAATCAATGACCTAAGTGAACGGAAAGAGAACATCAGTACAACACATGGAGCATTAAGTAAGTACATGTTTCGGCAGTACATGGGGACCCGACCACAAAACTTGTTCATACTATGACGCTGAATTTTAGAAAGTAAGGATAGCATTCCCGTCAGCTTGCTTCAGCATCTGACTTCTAAGTTCGAATACTACCACATCCACCACTCCAGCCACAGAACCATGAGGTACTATCAGCTGTCAAACAAGCGTGACTCATCACCCAGTGAGTTCTGTCAATTTAAAAGTACTTCCTCTTTTAAGATACAATTGCTTCGTATAACTTTAAGGCTTGCACTGACTTAAAGAGATTAAATCATCTCATAATTCTATGGATCACTGAATTCGAAAGGATACAAAGTGTAAAAGGTCTCTGACGAACAGAAACAAATTATACCTAATATATCATCTATAAACAATTGAGAATCATAAATGTCTCACTCAAACACTACTATTAACGCTAACCTGTAGGAGGTAAGTAGACCTTAGAAACAATCGACTCCCGCAAGATGCAACACACAACAGTTGGGATCATAAGGACCAACAACGGAAGACTAATGAGTACGGTATGTAGGAAATCAACAAACAAAAACAGATAATCATGATAGTATAGTATACCTTAGGATTCCAATTATGCATCTGGCATTTAGGCTTATAAGATGAAGACAAAGCGCGATGTACCGCACGGTCATGTGGTATTGTATCCGTACCGTCTATACTACCAGCAGTTACTGGATCATAGTAACCATACTGATGAATATAAGGATGCCATTCATGTGAATCATTTTTGACCATGTTTATTGCCTACCTAAAAAAATGGAGAATGATAATATTAGGGCCAGTTGCCATTTGAAGACTGACAACAGCAACAACAAGAAAGTCAATTGTATGTCAAATAATAAATTTATTTTCAACTTCAGATCAATGCTCCACACACATTTGTTGGGATCAAGCTGAACGAAGGTTAAGAATGAATACAAAAAAAAACGAAAGCTCAAGAAAAGATATGCAACATACGTGTGTCGATGTGAACATCAGTAAGAAAAAGGAAATTAGATGAATACCTAATGTGCAAGCGTACTGCGCATTAAAGAAACCAACATTTTAATTTTTGGGAAAAAAAGAAAACTTCTGTAGTAATGATAATCTTTGTGTGAAGCTGGTATCTATTTACAATACATGCCACAAAAACCTAAAAGGGCAATGTTTTGGCTACTTTTTATGTGAATTGGACGGAAAATCACTTTATGGACAATCTCACACACTTATCAATTCTCACAGCAAACAGTCTCTCATATATATATAAGGTTAACACCAACACAATATGGGTGGAGAACAACTAGTTTGACGAAATCGCATTTGAAAAATTGTTCATCTGAAATTAATGTTGTGGATGTGGGATTTGAGCACGCTGGTGATGATGTAGAGCTGCTCCTGCATTACCCAAAACCATTCCTTGAGATGGATTTCCAGGTAAATGAATCTGATTTTGTCCAGCACCTGTGCCACCAGTCTGGCCTCCAGCAACACCAACATTTGGATTAGACTGGTTGGTATTACCTGTAGAACCGTTATTCGCTCCATGTTTAGCAGCTGCTGCAGCTACGACAGCGGCTACTGTATTCATATATGGTGAAGCAGAAACAGAAGCGTAGAACTGTGGCGAAAAGTGCGGTGGCGCATGAGAATTGCTACTTCCATGATTGAAGTTTTGAACTAGCGATCCATTATTAGAATGCGAAGAAGACAATTTTCCACTGACATTATCTAATGACATTCCCTGGGATTGAAATGAACCGTAACCAGGCTGGTTCGAATTGGTTTTGAAACCTACTGAAATACAAAAAAATTAAAGAGACTAGTTAGTGTACAGCTTCAGGAACACACCTATAAAGCCAGTTTGGGACATGCAGTACGTTGGTGGTTCAATGGTAGAATGCTAGCCATCCAAGAACGTGGTTCGAATACGATTCTCGACCGAGGCAATCCTAAACCTAGCTTAGTCAATAATAAGCATAGCAAGGAAGGGTATGTGAAAAGTCATTAGGACAATTCAACAACTTCTGTCAAAAAGATCTTTATTAGGTACTGTGAGCAATATATTAAAATATACCAACGCCAAGTAGTTAACTTAAGACGGGCCTGGCTGAGGTCCTCGTGATGGTGATGAAAGTCAATAGTTGATTATATGTGACATGAACTGAAATCACCCAAGAGTGGTAAAGATGTCTTCATTTCCTGTCATCTTCTACATACTGATATCTCTTATCAGCCTTCATAATTCATTTCCGTTTACTGTAGTTTCACTGCATTTCTTTTATCTTTTGTTTACCTTTTCAAAATACGGCAAACTGAACTGATCCATCTGCATGTGAAATTCGTCAGTCGACGAAAATGAGTAAGTTTATTTACTGCATCTGAACATTGAATTACTTATAAAAGTCAGTGCATATTTCGTCGCTTGCCGACATCAGTTAGAGGTCATTTGAAACGAGGGAGCGCGAAACAGCCATTTCGTCCGAGCGTGGGAATTTTCAGCAGTGAGCGCCGACGACCCCATCCAGCAAGGGATCGAATCCGGGACCTTTGAGTTACAAGACCAAACTCGTTGACCATTCAAGTCAGTTAGGCCGTAATTCAATGGTCCGTGAATTCTAGCTAAATCAATTGGTGATTGAGTGCTGCTCTAAAGTAATGCCTTCGATGAGTATCCAATTCGCCATGACATGGTGAGCCTAACTGATCACAACTCAGTACAGCTTAATGAAAACTATCTCGTAACCAGCGATGAACTAGAGATTGACATTTAGATTATGGGACTTTGTAGGGATGTGGATTTATTTTAGTGTATATTTCTACATAGAAATAAATGCAAATCCTCACAGTCCCATAATCTAAATATTATATTATAAGTGAATTTGCAACGCGCAAAATCGCACTCCTAAACCTTGCTAAGCCGGCAGTAAATTCGATAAAGAGTGAAGGTTGGGCGTGAGGCTAGCAACCCCACCCCATAAAAATTAAACCACTGCTACTTGAACTTCAAAGCTCTAGCTTGAAGCCCTATGTCCCAGTGGGAACACAAAGGAATAAAAAAACCGCACAGCGTTAAGTTTTAATTTTGGTCATAACTGCCCACCACACCATCCACACATTGGCATATAACCATCATACCTACATGGAGTTTGGCAAACCGAACTGCTGCACATCTGTGTAAAGTTCTACATTGAAACCAGTTAGTCAGACAATGCTTCTTCAAATTGTAGTTAGTCTTTTTGCTTCCATGCTTATGTTACATGATATTGACAGTTGTGGTATGTCCTCTTATGGACTTTTATCAATCCTTCTTTTTCATTTGTTCATAGTGGACTTCAAAAAGGAAAAGCTGTTTCGATCATCCTAAGCACGAACAACTCTTCATAACCCTGAATTTCTCTATAATCTGTTCTTTTGAGATAAGCTTTTATTAATCGTTCAAGTTTATTTAGTCTTGACAAGTTTGGTCGACATTGATAACCCAGGAATTAGCTAAATGATACTTTGTATACCATAATTGCATCTTTTCATTGACTTAGTTTCTTCTTAATTAGGTTTAGCAGTTTAAATGTAGTCCAAACACCCGTCCTCGGCTTGCAAAGTTACCGAAATTGACCACCCAAACTAAATAGTCATCATTTGATTTACTTCGCAACACACAAACTTTTACGGGAACAATCTCACACAGTCGGTCAGTCCCACAAATTATGAAAAGTCATATGAGATTCGGGCTCGAATCCGGCCGTGTCTACTTCAGCCTGGTTAACAGGGTAATATCAACAACTCATACAATAAACACGGCTCAGAGTCTGGAAGATGACAGACGTTTAATGGAAACACATGCCTGAAAGTAAACCATCGAGCGCTAAGTTAACTCCACTAATAGAAAAGATTGTCATAAAGATATGAGATGCAAAATACCACTGTCTTCCAGATTACCATTAATTTACGGCACCTAACATGTGTACAGCCGTATTGTTGAATACAAACGACGGCTGACTCCACAGCTCACCATATAGTTGTAACTGTGTTACGCTGTGAAATCAGTTCGTTAGGGCTGATTGCTGACGAAACCTCAGCACGGGTACAGACGGCTCATGTGGCATTTGCCAACCTGCATCATCTCTGGCGTAGACGTGACATCCGGTTTTCGACCAAAGGACATGTGTACTGCTCAGCACTTTGCCCGTCCTTCTTTATGGCTGCTAATGAGACATGGCCATTCAAAGTGGGAGACACAAAAAAGCCTGGCTAGTTGTCTTTGATCATAGGTGCCTGCATTTTATCGCCCATGTTAGATGGTGTAATCGGATGAGTAATATTTAGTTTAGATGTCAAGTGTTAAGTAGGGAGGGAAAACCAATCGATGAAGTCATGAAGCTACATCGATTGAGACATGTTACGCAGGCCTAGTCATAGCCTTTGTCGACGAGCAATGCTAACTGACATAGGATCACATTGGAAAAGAGCTAGTGGTGATCAAAAAAACACAAACAAACAGTTAGTTTGAGGCATGTAGGGAGATGTAGACTGCCTAGTTGGGTTCCTCAGGCTTTTAAGAATCAATGTGTATGGTGGTGTTGCTCAAAAACGTTCTCAATGGCACAGATACATCCACTCTTTATGACCCGCTATATCTAATAAAACCCACATATTCTCCCATGTTCCCATTCTTTCTCCCTAGCATTTTTGCCCATTATTTCTTTTGAATCTCTTTTTTTCTCTCCTTTGTCTACTTTTGTGTGCTACATGGAGTGTGGTAACTCGACTTGCTGCACTTCTATGTTGAATCCAGTCATTTAGTCAGTATAGTTACAAGCCAGTCAGTTAACTGACAAGCGCTAGAATAATCACTGTTTACTTACCTAATCAATATTCACTATACATACAAAAAGGGTGGGTTAAGATGACTTGACAGTTTAACGTTCTGATATAAAGTCATCGATTCAAGAAGTCAGAATTAACTATTATTTGCGTATCTAAACAAAACAGACCTTGATATCGACCAGTAAGCTGAATAAATCTAAACAGGCAACGTAGCGAAACAAGCAAATTCCATATTAGATAAGTTTATTTTAATAATCACACAGTGATGCAGTGTGTGATTCTTAAAATAAACTTATCTAATATGGAATTATATTCTACCACAGTGCCCAAGTTTTACACTTACATTAATAAACAAGCAAATTGTTTGTATTTTAACATCACAGCCATACTTAAAATACTGCGAGGAAACTAAGTTAATATACAACAAACCTTGTTTAGATGGATCACCATACTTCACATCCAGAAGATCTTCGTAATTTCCTACACCACTCTGCAACTGTTTAAGACTGTTGTAAGGTTGTGTTTGATTTGTCTGAGGCTGATGCTGAGTAATCGGTGAAGCACACTGACCAGGATTTTGAACTTGAGAACCGTCAGAATTAGGCTGCTGCTGGTTTAAAAATGGATTCGGATAACCATTCTAGAGCAAAAATAAAGTTATAATCAACCATTTAGATTATTATTATATATTCAGTTTCTTTTTCAAAAAGAATTTCATGGGAATCAAAAGACTCACTACACCTACAAATACAAAATATTATTATCCACAGAGATATATTATTCAGCAGATGCAGTTTTGTCAATCGCTAATCAAGTGATATTGTGTATTTCCGGTTGCGTGGCGGCTTGCTGATGATTTAACAAGGTAAAGTCATACACAAAAGTGAAACAGTTCAAGTTGCTATACTTAGCAAAACAACAAATAAGTAGAT